AGATTGGTGGCAATTAAATTAACTTGCAGATTCTCTAAATAATCGATCCCTTATTGCATACATCTTTGTTTTATTTTAAAATCTACTGAGATCGCGGAGTGCGCCAACGGAGTGGAGACGCCAGCATGATCCCACCTGCTCTCTCCAAGTGCTGCATGTCTGGGATCCAAATCAATTTAAACTTACTGAAATCAACAATAAATAAAAAAGAATTAGTTACATATTAGAATTGTATTAATCCTCGTAAAGAGAACATAAATCCCAGACATCCCGCATAGAAAAATCCCAACAAAGAAAGAAACGAGAAAAAAAATTACAAAGGACTCACCTTCTTTTTAAGAAATCAAATCATGGAGTGAACACGCGAGCGGATCTGAGGACAGGTTCGGTTACAGTTAGCGCAAAGGAAATCATCAAAAATAAAAAGGTGATGTGAGCAACAATGTGATGTGAGCAACATCACAAATGTATTAAAATGTAACTCTCTTTAGTAATATTTTTAAGCAATAACTAAAAACAAACTAGATCAATATTAATTTTAAGCTTATATAACGGCTACGAAAAGTTAGAATGTTAGAAAAGTTTGTTTTTCTATTTGCCTAAAAAGGCCAAGACTTTTTAGTAAATAAGCCATAGCAACTTATATAGTAATGGACTTTTTTATCCGCACTCAACAGGTTACAAATATTATAGCAGGCAACAAAAAAAAACTGAATCACCTAAAGCATTAATATTATGTAATGTTAACGTCGTATTGCAAGTAAAAAAAAATNAAATATCGTCTGCACTAATTAATTAGCACCCCTTCGAGACATTAAGGTCCTATTTGAGGTCACTCCCCCTTAACGTTAAGAATAAGCTCAAAAATACGAAGATCCGATCATTAGACCAAAAGTGCTTTAGGATGGTCATTTGTTTCTTATTTTGCCCACAGTACACATTAATTCGCTGCTTGCTCTATATATTTATAATTTTGGGCTTTATTCTGCATTTTTTTGAAGTTTTATTTCTTTATTTGTTTTATTTCACATTTTTTGCTTCTATTTTTTGGTACTCTTCACACTATTGCATTGATAAATTTTGCTATATTAATAGAATATTAGAAAGCACGCTTTCTTGCGGATATAACCCTGTGGGAGTATATATATATATATATATATAAACACAAATTAACATGAAAAACATGAATAAAATAAAAATAAAAAACTAAATGGTAGAGAAACAAGAATGGTAAAGGCAAATAGTCGTTGTCAAGACACATCTAATTGCCATAAATAATGCGATATTTCTGAATAAAGAATAATTATCCTAAGATAAAAATTATTCTTTATATGTGTCGATATCGCAAAAACCTAATGTAGTAAAAAATCATGAAATAAAAGAAAAATGTAAAAGGAAATCAAACTTAGTAAGTTCAAAATGAAGATAAAACAAAGGAAAATTATAGACATATGAAAAAGGGGGGGGGAAATAATAATGAGAAAAAAAATAACAAACAACTGATTAAAAAAAAAATATTTAAAAAAAGATCTTTTCTTTTTAATCAGCTGTTTGTTTGTTTTTTTTTTTCATTATTATTTCCCACCCACCCTTTCTCATATGCCAATAATTTTCCTTTGTTTTAGCTTCATTTTGAACTTAACTAATGAGTTCCGTTTACTTGCAGCTTATGCGCAATAAATGAAACTTATTGTTTTTCTTAACTTTCTTCGTGTTTTCTTGTATTTATTTATTTTGTTGTATGAGAAGTTTAAGTTCCATAAACAAGAGCTTTCCTCATTAACCAAATGATATATAAAAAATATTAAATATTTAGTAGAGAAGTAAGGAAACAAACAAGAATAAAGTAGTTCAAACAATAGGGATAAATAACAGTAGGTACCAGTTTGAAAAATGCAATAAAAAGGGGAGAGCTTGGCGGGGATACCAGGGTGCTGAAAATTAAAATAGAATAGATTTCCAAATATGGGAAGCAGTGGGAAAAATCATTAACTAAATCATTAGAATTTTTTAAAGTATGAAATGATTCTCGAAAAATCAAGATCGGTAAATGAATAGCAATATTGAATGATTTTAGCAGAAGAAAACTTCTACCTATGATTGGAATTCCAACTAGGAGCACAAATTATACTTTTGAATAGCTCTCTGTCCACCTAGAATTTTACTGCTATTAACGTACGTAGAGTTATGCAATTTAAAATCCTCATCATATATTTTATTTTTTATTCGGCATTAGTATTAATTTTTGAATACGAAGATTAAAACGAATTTTTTTCTTCAAATTAATGAGCGAATAATATTACATTTTAATTCATAAAAAATGTAGTATTATTTAGAAAAAAAGTATTATGCATGAAAATGTATTGTGCATATGGGGGTTAGTTCCATCGCCATGAATGCTTGTTTGTCCCAATACTTGATCCAGGACTTCCCTTGTCTTCTTGATTGGGTTTAAGATTACAAGGCTACTGAGTTGAACATCGTAAACCCAAAATAGTTAGCCTGTTCTAAGAAAATAATATGCATTGTTCCCACTTTTTTCTTATTTTTCGTATTATTAAATAACACGCGCTAAACAATTTCTATTGTTTGACAGGCCTGTTGAGGAATCATCAACTATAGAGATTTCGGAAACTGATATAAAATATGTAAAATTTCATATGCAGTCATTGATACTCGTAAACTCAAAATTGGGTAGGCTGTTTAACGCCGGTTATAAAATAAAATAAAAACAGTGTTCACAATTTTATTCTATTAAGTATAAACATTTCTAAAATAAGAATGACATATTTTCTTATATTATATGAAATTATAAAACAAAACTTAAAAATGTTTTATTTATTTCCCGAAAGCAAATCAAAGTGAAAAAGAAAATGAAGATATTCCAAATTTTATGCAGTTAATTGTTAAAATATTTTGAGATAGATCGTTTTAAAATTAGAAAACAAAAAGCATGACAGAATGATGACAAAGAAAAAAAAATTCGCATCTCCTTAAGTTCCAGGTGAAATAAAAACTTATCTCATGTTTAAATTTAGAACACAAAGCATAATTTTTGCTCCATTAAGAGAATTATTTGTCTTACTAAAAAATATGAGTTAAATCTCAAAAACTTTAAACATTTTTCGTCATTGACTCAACGAAAATATGCGGAATAACTTGAATTGAAAAAAGGAATAATTGATAGTTGCATTATTTAAAAGACCGGTTAAAAATGAATAATGTTATAAATTTTAAAAAAAATTAAGGTCTGAAAAAGGAAATAATTTTTCAGTGAAAATAAAACATGCATAGTTTGTTTCGAAATTTTAAAGACTCAACTGACACATTTTTTTAAAACTAAACAATAACAGAAAAGTACGAGGTTAAATGAGTATTTTAGTCATTCGAAGAAAAGTTCTGTTAAGTAATATTCAAGCATATGCTGAGAGTTGTAAAGAAGTTTATTTTGAGAATTTTCACTCAAATTTATTTTCTCACCTCATTTTGTTCCCAAACCATATAATAATTTTGCCGACAACACTAATGAAATCAGTGAGGTCTTAAGAATATTCCGAAGAAACAGTTGTTACTTAACAAAAAGTGTTTTTTTTTTTCCTTTACTTCTTCCTGAAATGTCAACAATTTTCTATAAAGAGTCAATTTTCTTTAAGTGTCAACAATTTTCTTTAGCTACAAAATGTTTTGAGGCTTCTAATTGTTAAGCTTAAATCTGCCACAGCAGTAAAATATATCTTTAAATGCTTGAAAAAGGGAAATTAGAAGTGTATGTTAAATTTTAATGCAAAAACGTCAAATGTTTAACAGAAGCAAAAAAGTTTTAAAAAACTTGATGCAAATTTTGAAAATAAAATTACACATAACGAATATTTGAAGTGCTTTCATTTGTTTTAACCTTTTTTTCTAAGAGTTCCGTTTACGAAGTGCTCCGTAATCACTGCGTTTAAAATAAAGTTTAAAAGTCCAACAAAGCAATACTTACACAAGAGGTTAAAAAAAGTGTAGAAAGAATCATAACTCTAGTTTAGCGAATCGCTATAGAGCAAAGCGGGATTATTGAAAAAGGAAGTCTCATGGATCGTAAATAATTATTCAAGAGAAGTATTAAAACAACAACAACAGAAACTAGCGAAATCTTTTGAGCATAGAAAGTAGGGTGAAATGTACAAAAACCTCTTGATGAACCATTCCGGAGTGTCTAAAAAATGTCTTTCAACTCCTTTCTATTTATCACTGGCTTCAAACAGGTATTGATGTTTGTATTCCATTTTCATATTTAATCTACTTTAATTCATGTAATAATTTTAAACATTTGAATGTATAAAATCCGTTTCATCATTTTATGTATGAACTCTGTACATTAACGGTAGTGATTACAGTAAATGCATCCAATTATAGGATTCAGAAACGTTAGCAAGGGTTTGAGGAACGTGTACTTTTTGGTATGAAGCGCTCGCTGCTCAATGAGATGAAACCAAGGTTCGAATCTCAGCGATGTCTGGGGGTTTCTGCTTTGATGCTGCAGTGCTGACGTGAAAGTGGTGGTTGACCGATAATGGATTCGAATCCCTTCTCCGTGGGACGTCGTCTACCTCTTAATATAACGGATAGTTGCATCAATAAGTCCTTCATGAAGGCTAATTTGCCCTAATGTTTGAAGCAGGAGTCCCCTTGTCTTCTGGCTTGAGTTCGAAATTACAAACATTGATAGTCGTAAACTCGAAAATTAGCCAGCTGTTCAACACCGTTTATAAAATAAAATAAAATTATTACAGTTTGCTATTTTTTTCTATGGAAGAGTAGATAAATGGGAGAAAGAAAGAAAAAAAGAGATGGGACAAAATTCCGTAGAAAACTCTGTTTTAAAATTGTTTCTTTGAAATGTTTTTCAAAAGTAAAGCGACTACTTTTAGTGTTCCGTTGGCTGTTTCTTACAGAAACATACGTCAATAAAAAAACAAGGTTTGAAACGAAACATGATACAATAACAGCAAAAGTAATGTTTTTTCTTTTTTTTTCGTAGGAGAGAAATTTTCTCGAAGTAAAGTTACGAAACTAGCTGCTCGGAGATACAATTTATTATTATTGTTGTTGTTGTTGCTGTTTAACCATGGAAATAGATAAATTTGATCAAATAAAGTACTTTCATCGAATCGTTTTAATAATTTTTATCGGTAAGTAAAATTTTTTATTTCATTCTTAATTCTATTTTTAATTATGAGATATAATACGCTTAACTTTCGTCTCCAAAGACATGTTATTTATTATAAAATTAGAGGATAGCAGTTTGGAAGTGATTATTTTCTATTTAAGCCCTTTTTTAATCATTACTGTTTGTATTTAACAGTAAATTATAAATTTCGATAAATATAAGTGATAAAATATAAATTAATAAATAAATAGAATTGATGAAACTTAAATATGGGGGGGGGGAGATATATCATCCTATTAGTTGAATATTGCATAAATGACGCAATTTGAAAACTATTTTAAAATGTGTTTAGTCTATTACATTGTTGTTAAAATTACCTGTTTGGATTACATTTCATATTTTCTTCGTTTTTTTTCTTTTTCATTATTTTCTTTTCATTATTTCCTTTTTTTGCAGGAAGAGTTTCCTTAGACATGTTGTAAGACTTCTACTGACTTTTGAGAATTTTTTAAAAATTATTTCCTTTTAACTTCTCGAGCAAAAAAAAAGTAACACTTATTCAAAACTCTTGTAATTATTCATGTTTTAGTTCTATGTTTGTAATTTCCATATACGGTTATGCAATTATTCAATGCGCACACAATAAAATAACTGTCTGAAAAATAGGTCGAATTCACATTCTCCTTTAAGAGAACACTATAATGAGAGTACGTCGATAACACTATAATCATCGATAAGCTGATGTTAGGATTTTCTTATTTAAGTGTTACATAACAATAGATTTCGAGATTTTTTTAGTATATTAATAAAATTCAATTTAGAAAAATTCAAAAATATTCTTTGTAATTTAATTTAGTTTGATAAATTTTAAATCAAGGCAGACCATTTTCTGCCCTGCATGTACTTCTAATTCCGGCGTTTTAGGGCATGGTCGGTATGCTGGAAAAATATGGCGCTCGTAACGAAAGCGTTAAAATTTAAATTATAGAAAATGTGATTTTTTGTAAGATTAGAATAGACTATAAAGTTTTGAATGCTAAAAAAAATTCATAACTTCAACAGACAAACAAATTATGGCTGGTTTACTTACACAATAAGAAAGTTTGGTGTATAGTTATTAATTAATATTATTATTAATATTAACAATAATTATATTAATATTATTTATATTAATATTATCTATATTAATATTAATTATAATATATTAATAAATTATGTTATATTATTATTATTATTTATTAATATTATTAATCACAGATCTGTAGTCATCGTGCAAACAATTGTGCGAAATTTATAAAATAACAATTGCTTATAAAAATGAGTGCAATTGTTTTTTAAACAAAATGGTTTTGCAATGAAGCCAAAATTTGATTTACCATGAATTGATTCTTAATATGCAGGAAAATGTGTTTTGTCTGTAAACAAACAAACAAAAAAGGAAGAAATAAATAAATACAACTATAACAGTGAAAAAGCAAATAATGTATGCACTATAAAAATTGTAGTTTACCTCAACACCAAGAATGGTGGCAACTACACACCAAAATTTATATTTTGAAAACAGCATATGAAGCATCATGGTTTACACTAATTCTTCAAAAAATTAATTCTTAAAAAAAATTTAAGAAATAAATTATAAAAACTTAAATAATTAAAATAATTATGATAAAATTAAAACCAAAAAAAAGAGGATTTCATTTTTAAAGTATTAGCTAAGCAAAAGCACATGAATAAGCTTATAATAACTAACAAGTAAAAGCTGCATCAGCAAAATATTTTTCTTTTTAAATGTATGCATTTAACAAAAAAACAAAAAAATTGAAAGGAATCTATTTCAGCATGTTGTGCAGCTCAAACGGAAGACGAAGGTTTTCGGATGGATTCTACAGAAAAAATGCAAGCAGTGAAAGATAAAATATTTAAGGATTATGATAAATCGATCAGACCAACAATAGATGAATTCCAAGAAAAATTCAACGTTACACAAGTGTATATCACTTTTATTCCTATATATGTTAACGACGTGGTAAGTATTAAATAATATGTAAATTACAGAACTTTTAAAAAAATGATTCGAGAATTTAGGAAGGAAAAAAAATGCGCAAAAACAACTCACAAACAAAATTTTTATTTTGAGTGAAAAATTGAAATGGGATAACAATGAATAGTAATTTAATAATTATGAATAATAATGGAATAATAATCAAATAATGATGCATATTAATGCAATAATAACGGATCTCGAACTGACAAAATAGGGCATGCTGAAAGATTAAATCTTTTTCCTATTGACCTTGTGTGATTTTGTAAAAATAATAGTTTGACCTGCAAGTTCCACAATTACTGATTTCGAATTTATTCTCGTACTCATTTGATTTGATAACCATCGTTGAACAGCCGACCCAATTTCGGGTTTACGACTACAAATGTTCAGCTCTGTAGCCTTGTAATTTTGAACCCAATCCAGAAGACAAGGGAACTCCTGGATCAAGTATTTTCAGAAATTTGCCTTCGAGGAGGACTTTTTGATGGAACTAACCCCCATTTGCGTTACATGGTGAGGGAAACCTCAAAACCCACCCACGATTATCCTGACAGCAGGGGGACTCTAATCCATAATCCGTCAACAGCTGAGGATATTTTACAGCATCCCTGTGACATACAGTTCTGATCGTTGCGAGTCGGGTGTGGAATTCGTATCGAGCAGTCATCCCTGAGATTCAAACCCGGTACACTTCATTGAAAGGAGAACCCTCTATCCCCTGAGCCACCACGTCTGTTAGAAGGCTTTACTTACATAAAGTAACTCGCATTCATTTTATATCGAACGTTTACGTTCCGATGAGGAGAAAAAAATATTCTCAGTGGTAAACGGATTATGGGTAAGAATAGTCTTGCAATCAGGCTATCCATGGGAGGCTTTCGTGGTTTTCCTCTCCATGTAACGCAAATGCGGGTTAGTTCCATCAAAAAGTCCTCCACGAAAGCAAATTTCTGAAAATACTTGATCCGGGAATTCCCTTGTCTTCTGGATTGGGTTCAAAATTACAAAGCTATGGAGCTGAACAATGTTGATCGTAAACCCGAGAAATTGGATTGGTTATTCAACGACAGTTGCTGAATAAAATAACATAAAGTGCTTCTAAATTTACAATCCGAAAGAATCTGTTTATGAGATTCTTACCAGATTCTGGAGCTTTTATATCGCATGCATTGAAAAATTCTTACCGGTGATTCCAAAATTTTATCCTGTTATTTAGATTTTAACCTGATGGTAAATCTTTATCGCGTCCGACTTTTATTGTGAGATTCTCAGCTCTGAATCCGGAGCTTTTTTTCCGCATCCATCTTGTAAGGTTCTCAGTTCTGCTTCCTTTATGAGACCACTTTACTTTTATACCATACCACTGCGGTTTATAATATGATTTTATTGCAATTTCGTCATCACTAACGCAAGCTTAGAAATTAAACAATTTTTAAATTTGCTTAAATAAAATATCGAATGAGTGATAGTATGACAACAAGAAATTTCCTTTGGCGATCTTGGGAGCACGAATTTTTTCCTTTGTATGTGTTTGGAACGTTCTAATCAACATTCTTTATTCATGGAACTGCTAAAGTTCCAACAAATTCAGTTAATATGATATTTTCTCCTTGCTATACTTTGTGATCCACTCTCCGGTTGACAATTAGAGATACTGTAATAAATAATCCTTCTTTTAATAACCTTAATTCAATTTATAATTCATTAACTTATATTTTGTTTTCCTTAAACTAAGTTACGATTTGTTTTAATATTATAAACACAAAAAAACTTGAAGGGCTTAAGTGCACCTATCAAGTGATTATAAATTTTCTAAACAAGTTTTTAACGCATTCTTTACTTGAAAAATAGAATTGTTCTTGATAAGTCTAAGAGCTGAACACGCATTATTGTAATCCTCCCCTATGTGGTAAATAGTGTGAAAAACATCATAAACCTATTTTTTTCTTCTTAATTTCATTTCCTCTCCTCGTCAATTTATTAATCTGCACTTAGAATCATCCTCCTTTAAATGTAAAATTAAAAAATATATATTTAGAGTAATATCAATCCAGCCGTTCCATTTTTTTAGAAAGACGATAATGTATAATTTATTTTATTGCATAAACAGTCATACTTTTTTTCAATAGCATTCCATTCATACTTTTTCGAGATTTCAAATAAATAAATAAATAAATAAATAAATAAAAATACTGACAAATTAAAAATGTTTTTTTCCCCCTTTTTTTACAGAAACTATTTTTTAATCAGTTTTATTTTGTTAAATAAACTAAATTTGAATAAAATTTATTGCTTATTTTACTTTTTCACAGGATGAAGAAAAAGGGTTATTGGTTTTTGATTCAATGGTATGGATGGTAAGTTGTATACAAGAGGATGCTCTTATCGACCGACTTTATGCTCTTTTTACATAGAAAAGACGTCTCAAAGTCACGTGGTTTTCCCAGTCTCCACACTTTTCCTTACTCTTTTGCAATGGTTTCGGGAAATCTCGCTTTCTTTCCTACGGAAGTACATTCCCGTAAGAAGTTGAAACATAGTTGCGTGGGGAAAGAGCAAGATTTTGAGAAACAATGGCAACTGAGTGGGAAAGGGTGATGAGTTAGGAAATCGCTTAAACTTGGCACGCGTATTTATTTACCAAAAGTATTGATCTGTTGCACATAAAATAACCTGTGGTGTTTAGAGTTCCATAATCGGTAATACACTGGGCGAAATGTAAAACAAAGATGTCGTACATGCGCAACAGTGCATATGGTTTCAATTTTAAAAAAAAGTACCAAATGTCATTGATAGGGAAAAAAATAGTGATTCAAGCATTGTATGTTATAAATAAATACATATTTGCGTACTGAAATAGTAAAAAAGTGCTGAAATTTTCTCTTTTGAGCTATTCAATACTAATTCCTTTAAATTGAAAGCGCAAAATCTGTTGAGCATGGACGCCTTTTTTTTTTATTCTCTGTTCATAACATTAAAAAATTGAAGACACAATATTTAAATTATAGGTATGAATTTAATATTTAAATGAGTAAAAAGATAAAAATATAATAAAACGTGGTTTAATCAGATCAACGGAGGGTTTAAAATCATCTTAAATTAGTTCATTTGAGGATGAAGCTGAAAGGGAGTTCGTAACAAAGCAGAAAACATTTCAATACCAACTTGGCAAATAAACAGGTTTTTGATGGTTGATTTTTTGCTCTTCATTATTGATTGGTCAGAATCTAACAGCGCTTTTAGTCAAATATTTATTTGCAAGACTATATATAAACATTTTTGAAGTATTAATTAGACTACGTAATGCATAATTAAGTCCCATTTGCCACTCTTTATATAAACAGTTTGTACAAAGATTCCAAAAATCATTCCTCAACATTTTAAAATTTATTCGTACCATTTGATTAGGCTGTTTAAAAAAAATCAATTAGAAAAATATTTCTTTAATCAGTCCCGCAGTGGACTGATCGTTAAGTCACGGTTCCCAGCAGATCACCGAAGTCAAGCATCACTGGCTACGGTCAGTGTGCGGGTGGGTGACCACTTGGATCAGTCTGCGTAGGGACCGAGGGTGTGCGGTGTCGGTCCTCGTTAAACTGTNATTTGATTAGGCTGTTTAAAAAAATCAATTAGAAAAACATTTCTTTAATCTTTTTTATGTTAGTGAAAATTAATCAAAATTTCTAGATATTAATTTGACTTATAGAAATGAAAATTTCAAGAGATTATTATTTGATTTGGAAAGAAATACACGGAAATTTCAACTTTCCTGACGCATCGTGGATCGATTTCACAATTTCAAAGAAACATTTAAAGCAGTCCATTTCATTAAATTTTTATACCTCTTAAAATCTTTTAAACTTATTTTTTATTCTCTTTCAAATCAAAAATGCTTTTGCTAATTATTTCAATCATATTTTTTAAAGTTAGTATTTTTTACTAAATTTCTTTTAATAAAAAATTCCCAAATTATATATTAAGGGCAGTCAATACAGAACATCCTGCATTTTTTAAAAAAAAATAATTTATAAGACTGTGTGAAGTATGCTTTCCACCAACTACATTAATTATTAAATGTCGATGGGAAGCCGTTTTACTACATCTTCTAATAACTTCAGAGGGAAAAAAAAGATTCTGGAATTGGTTCACATATACGTGGGTAACAGTTAAGTTTAGAATTCGATCAAAAAGAGACGCCAAGTCTTGTGTTTTATGCTTCATTTGACTCTTGCGTTCGTTCATTCATGAACAAAGAATTTATAAATTTGGTTATTTACAAGTACAGAAGTTCAAGTTTAGGGTCAATTCTTTTACAGTAGATAAAATTTTGAAAATTCTCCCACTTTCCCACCAAAAAAAGTTTCATAAAAATCAAATTCATTTCAGGTAACAAGCTAATTGAATTTTTATTTTTTGAACCAATCTTAAATTCAAAAATATTTTAATATAACATTAACATAACATTAGCATAACATAACATGGCCCTATAATGAGTTAACTAACATGTCATTGGTGAGATGAAATGAGATGTTCAATGAGATGTTCAGCATCTCATTTGTGGCATGTTAGCAAGCTCTATTTTAAAAGCTTTGTTGATTTCAATTTCATTAAAAAAAATTGATCGAAAAGTTTTTCATGGAGTTCTATTTCTTTTTTTTTACTGCACATGTATTTTATTTTAGTCTTGGCTAGACGTACGATTACAATGGAATGATACTTTTTACAATGATCATCTACAGATACCAAAAGATATGCTTTGGGTACCTGATATCTCTGTTCTAAACAGGTATGTAAAACTTTTCCTAAATTTCGGCTGAATATAAATTTTTTTAATATTTTATATCAGCATCCGAAATCCCTATATTGTAAAAGACCTCACAACTGGCCACTCAATCGAACTGAACTGTCATTGAAAAGGACGGGGGTTTGATACCCAGTGGCACCCACCCAGTTTCAGGATACCAGCTTGTCTGGAAAGTGCAATACTGACCACATTCTCACAATTATGCCGTGTTGGTCTCAAAATTGCAGAGCTTTAACCTGCATGACCCCCCTGTCCTACAGCGGGCTGTTGAGGGAATAAAAGTATGCATTTTAAGTATTGAAAACAATTTTTTACTGATTATGCATTTTTTGAATAATATAAATAATATATTAACAACTATGTTATCCCTTTTTTATACTTTTTTTATCCTTAAAAGATCTGTGTTCTTTTTTTAAATCTAGTCTGAGCTCCGCAGTGGATGCCACATATGATGTCCCACTTCAAGTCTACCCTTATGGCTACGTATACTGGATACCGAAATTGAAGACAATCACTTCATGCACTTCATTAACCCAAACAGAATACCCCAATGATATATTAATATGCACAATAGAATTAGGATCTTGGAGCATAGATGGATGGACTGTCATGCTAAACCAAGGACATCAAATGTATTTAGAGCATTTTGAGAATATTCATCAAGGGTAAAAATGTTCCTGTGATTTTTCATTCTACTTAATAATAATAAAAATTTTGAAAAAACAGTCTACTAATGTTTCTCTTTTTGTTATAAAATCGTAGGAGTAGCTGTCGCCTTTGTTGTCATGGGTGTTCAACATAACATTACATTTTGCTCTGTTGCACAAAAGCTATAAGACTATATTTGAAGTTACAATAATGTATAGAAATATAAAAAGGGAAGGTGATGGAATAAGAAATAATATTCGAAAATTATTATCTGTAAAACTTGTAATAAATAATAACCTGAGGAACAATCTGCATCCTACTGAATTGGAACTGTGGAGTTAAAATTCACGTGTTGAAAGGGCTATTTTTGTTTTTGAGCTTAACATGATTTTTTAAGGACATTCCAATTGGATCGGAAGTTATTCCAATTGTAAGTGCTTCCTTTTTCCTTTTTTTGCTTTAAAAATGTTCTATAAGATAATCGTTATATACTGTTAAAGAGTAAACTTCACTCCTCATTAATTACTTCTTATTGTATTGCATATTCTGTGTCCTAAGTTAGAATATTTCTTTTCTAATTGATTATTTTCAAATAATTTTTTTAAATATGGGTATCCGTTCAGTTTGTTACGATTAACATATGTGCTTACATAAAATTACAATAATTACACATTTTATAAGCAAAATGGTCTTTTTTTATCGACTTTTAAGAAGAAAAAAACGATGAAGAATAAAAAGCAACGACGGGAGTTGGTCAGTATTTTTACAGTTATAGTTTTTTACTATATATTTAACTCTAAGTCTCGAGAGGTTATTGCTAAAACTCTATTATGATTTATCTTTTATGTACTTTTAGCATTTTTATTTTAAGGTACTCTTACTTATTAATTTTAGATGGGAGCTTTTAGTCTCAGAAATTGAAATGACGAACGAGACTTGGTATTATGAATGTTGCATTTCACCATACGTGAGCCTGACCTACCACCTTCCCCTGAAGCGCCGACCATTGCCACAAATTGAAGCTACCAGAATACCGTGCATTCTAATAATGATTCTTACTCTAGCTACATACTGGTTGCCAAATCAACACAATATGAAATATATTTTGAATCCTCTTCTGTTTACAGTCCTGAGTGTTCTTTTGGTGTACGTCATCAGCAGTACTAGAAATCCTTTGGGAGTCTTGCGTGGAGGTAACCTTAACAACCATTTTGTATAGAAATATACTAAAAAAAACGATTTGTGACCAAAAAAAATTCATAACGTAAGTCATTGAGTGTAAAACGGGAGAAGGATTTATCAGTTTTTTAGAATTGGGTACTTGTAACTCGAGAAGAGGTGAAGTGATTCTGCCTAACAATGTGATTTGAATAAGTTTTAATTGTTGCCTGTAAGTGGCACCAAGCGTGTATATCAAACCTGATTGATTCGCTTCTGAATTGACAAAACGCTAAATTGACATTCGGAAATTTGCCTTCGTCGGCTTTTTGATGGAACTAATCAACACTTGAGTAACACGGAGAGAAAAATCACGAAGACCTCATACGGTTAGCCTGAGAGCAAGGGGACTCTAACCCATGATCCGTCTACCATTGAAGATATTTTACATCAGCACTGTGGTCGGTGCGAGTAGTGTGAGGAATTTGTTTCGACCAGCCAGCGCTGGAAATCGAACTCAAATCACCTAATTGGGAAGCGAGAGTTCTATCCCCTGAGCTGTGAAAATGCTTTACTTACATAATTAAATCATTATAAGATTGTGCATGAACATATAACATATAGGTTAAATGTCGTCCGTGTTTTAATGCACTCATTAGTCTCCGCACTTCTTAGTCGCTAGTGACCATTTTGTATAAATGTAGATGGAAATCACTGATTTTGATATCCTCCTTCAATGCATGGGTGAATCCTAATCCGATCCCAATGCATGGCCCTTGGCATAAACCTTAGACCTAAAATAGGTTCTTTAAAAACGCCTGCGTCTTTAAATCATGTGATATGTCGGGCAATTTTAATCCTCAAAATGAGAAATTACATGACCATAGAAAGATTCAACATTGCTCAACGATGAAAATGCATAATTCTTTCGTAGCATCATTTTTAAAGGCCCTTAACTGTTAGATATCCTGTTGAATCCTCTTCTTTGGCAGCATATTTTGCATTAAAAAAACCTCTTGCGTGAATTGTGATGCATCTTACACACGAGTCGGGGTTTTTTTTTTTTAAAAAATGAATAGCTTATTGTTGTTGGATTAAAAAAAAACTTTGAACAAGAACCATTTTTTATTGTTCTTACTTCTTAAATATTATGTTCATTTTTATAGTTTCATTTCTGCAGTCGACGATGTATATTGGAATCATAACAGTTCTTCTACAAGTTTTCGTAGTTCATAAAGTTGCAACTTGGTCGACAACATCCAATCCACCAATAACTGTTATTGAAATCTTAACGGGTCGACTAGGAAAATATCTGTTATTGAGATCTCCATTTTCGGAAGATAAAGTGATCCTCGATCAAATGAAGCTTAACGAAGATTTCACAACTACGGAAAGGATTTCAATTAAAGAAGAATGGATTTTGTTGGCAACAGCATTGGATCGAATATTTTTTTCAATAATGTCAATAGTTACTCTCTCTGTACACCATTTATGAAATATGATAATTTTCTTTAGCGTTTTTATGTAAATGAGAAAAATTAAACAATATACTCATATGTCCAAAATTAGATGTTTATTTTAAAATCATGTGAAAATAAAGAAAGTGTTAATATTGAAACAGATAGGAATAAAGCTAAACGGCATGAAAAGTATGTAAACAGAATTCGACTCTGTACTAAAAAAACTTCATTTTCATAATACAGCTAAAGGAGAAAAACATAGACATGCGGGAGAAAATTGCAAACAAGTTACAAATAGAGAAGAAAAAAAAGGAATACTCTAATAGGGTATGGAAATGGACTTGAAAAAGATAATCAAACAAAAGAACGGAGATAGGAAAAATGACTGCAAGTAAAAGTGGAGTACTTAACTCCCTTCTTTTATTTGATTACCTTATTTCTGAAATCTTGTTTTATGCTGTTGTTTTTTTAAGTTGAAAGTCCGAAATTTTGTTTTCGATCAGTTTAAAAACAAAAATCCTTCTTAGTATCAAAACACTGAATAAAAGAATGAAACACGTATATGTATGTGAAAATTATAAACAAGTTACAACAAAGAAATGAGCTTGAACTAGATAATAAAACATATTAAAGGAGATAAGAAAAATAACTATGAGGAAAAGGAGTATTCTGCTTATCTCCTTTCTTATTCTTTCTTCTTATGTTTGATTACTTAACTTTTATAAATCTTGTTCCCATACAACATAGAAATTATTCTACTGAAACCAAACACAGGTTGGTAAAGAAAACACTGAATTCGAAATTTAATCTTCAGTTTATATCAAATTGAAACAAGATAAGAAGGGAGTGTTAAATAAACTATAAATAAACAAAATATTCCGTAATCACCACCGTTATTGTGCATTTCAAAATTCTTATTAAAAATAAAGTCAAGAAAATTTGCACAAGTAAATATTTAAATATAATCGCAAATATATATAGTATATATATATATATGTAGTGAAGCATACTTGCTTTACTACATATGCAGTTCATGTACTTTTTCTAGATAGATGAGAGAACTAAAATTAGAAAGAAACAAAGTGTTATATTTTTCATCAACACAGGGTCAGAAACGGTATAAAAACTTTTGTTTGAGGGAATAAATCCTCATCTTCAGCCATTCGGTTAATGAACCTCTGTTCTTTCAACTCTATGATGCAGGTTGAAACCCCTTTTCAGCTTACAAGACAAATTTTTCTTTCTCACCACTGCTGCCAACATTCGGAGACAAATACAACTTTCTATTTCCTGTCCTCTAAATTCTCCGACTAATAAAAACCAGTCAGCTTGACATCTATTTTTGTCTCGAATTTGAACCGTCTGAACCAATTTTTATTTGACAGTGAGTTATTAGAATTAAAAAAAAACTTCAGAAACAAAAAGCGAGAAATTCTTTTTTATAGCTCTGCAGAAAAACTGTAGCAAAATTTTTTTTTGTTGCTTTTAACCTTTTATAACGTTGATTTAAATAAAAACAAAATTCGACATTAAAATCAGTATTGATGCAAATAATAGCATTTTTTAATACAAATTGATCCAGCAGAATTTATAAATCCCATTGTACCATAGTTTCACAAACCGTTAAGCCAAAACGTTTTTTGAAAAACGTTCTGCAGCGGAATATATCAGGCTTGACAGCCTCATAGGTTCATAAAAAAATGATAACTTGCATTTAAGAATATTGTGAATATTTTTTTCCGATAACATTCCTTCAATAAATGCACAACCTGGAAAAATCCCTTTAAAAGTAAAACAATAATTTCATAAGTAAGATTGAGTGATAGCGCGAAATAAAAACGTGGTTGGAATATAAATTAGAACGAAACTCATAGTAGATTTTTTCGTGTAATTCATCCGAAAAATATTTTCTATAAATAATGATGTAAAGGTTAACTTTTTTGACGCAGATAGGACATGGGTGTCCCTTTTATGTATTTTTTTCCTGACACTCTAATTACAAGCAGAAATAAATGTTGGTACTTTTTAATTATTAAAAACAATCTAACAGTTACTAAAAAAACCTGTCAGATTATCGGAATTATATTTGTGCTAAAATATAAAACGCAAATAACGTAGTTTGAAATTTTTTCTTTTCATTCATATTCAAAAATTTATCAATAATTGATTTTGCAAATTAACGAAATTTCAATGATGAATACTGTTTCTCTTTTACCTAAATAACTGCAAAAAAGAGCAAACTCTTATAATGTTTTGACCTAAATTGATACAAAATAATAAATAAGGTATGAAAATATATTTAATAAAAATTATGTGACAAAGGGTTAATGTCTTCGGTTTTAAAATCATTTGGAAGAAATTTGTCAACTTTAATGCGTAATAAAATTCTGTGTGACAGATAACATAGACAATTATGTGCGACAAATATACATATATATATATAAATGCGTAATCATCAATATCCAGATAGAGGCTGCTTATAAATCAGTATAATATTATAAAATTTCATATAAGGATTTAAAAAAAGTCATGTTTTTAATTTATCTAAACAAAAATCTACATTGTGGTAGCAAAAGCTTTTTATGTCACCTATAAAATAAAATCTATAACCCTGAATGATATATCATTTATCTTTCCTCGATTGAGAAATCATAGCTGGCTTTCGTACACTTACAGGAAATTTGGTTTAACATTGAATCATAATAAAGGCACATAAAATTTCAACATTGAGCCATAATAATGATACATTGAAGTTTAAAGTAGTTTATCGTGAACATAATTTACAGAATTTACGTTTTTGTTGTAGTGTTTTAAAATTTAATTGTGCTAAATTACAACTTCCGTTTGTTATAATTTATTTTGAAATAGTTTTATAGTTTTCTAAATAAAATACTTAATGAAAAACTAGAAATTTTTATTGCCCATTGACTAGTGCTCGTTGTTAGAAAATGAAGGATGAAATTTGGAAACTCGCTCATCTAAAGTTATGAAATTAAAATATTAGAAAAGATAAAATAATTAAACTAAACAGTAATAATAATGATACATTTAATAAAAATAAAAATTAGAAGCGAGTATAATAATAGAATCGATAAAAGATAATAATAATAACAAACCGAATAATTCTTTGGGATTGATAAATTGAATAATTATGGGACTGAAAAATTAAACATTAATAGAATCGAATTTACATTAAACATTAGGTCTGTAGCCCATGGGTTCAGAGCAACATTCCTAAACAGGATCTGTATTTTCATAGTATTCAGGACTTTCAATAAAGGGCTGACTATATATTTAAAAATTGCAATATACTGCAACTGTGAATGAAATTGTAAAATAATTGTAAATGAAATGATAGGTAAAGTGGAGAAGTTAATTCAAATCAAGGTCATAAAAAACCATTTCTATAAGTAACCATGGAATTATTTTACTCATTTAAGCACAACGAAAAAACGTTTTTAATTTTTATTCTGCTTATTATTTATAATTAGTTTTGACATAGGTTTGAAACCACAGTCCTAAGCAGAATGCCTATTTTCATAGGATTCGGGATTTGCAATAAGACAATCTCTTTTTTGAAAATTGCAATATGCTGATAAAATAACTGTGTAAAAGGTTTTATTATATCAGCATTCTGCTGTGCAACAATGAAACAAAAAGTAGATGTGAATTCAAATCGCAGGGTTATAAGAAACCATTTCTGAAAGTAATCGTATGTGTTACACTTTAGGTTGTTCCATTTTTTTGTGAAGAGGTGTGCTTGATTTTTTTTTTCACGAAATGTGAGACATCGTGCATCTCAGGTTCTTTAATTCATTAATGAGTGTGATTAGTAGGTGAAAACATAACTGAAAGGAGGAGAAAATTCTGGAAGGAAAGAATCATGGAAATTGAGAGAATTGTATCGAAATATCGAATATGTTTTTATATTATTAGCATAATTTTTTTCACAGGTAAACAGTCTCTTTTCTATTTCTATAATAAGTTTTAAAAAGAAAACTAATTATTTTCATTAAATAATAAAATATTAAATGATTCTTTTTAAAAGCAGAAGTATTGTATTTATATTCTTTAATGATATGTATATGTTAATATGTTAATCTATTATTATTATCACAAAATCTTGATAAAAAATAATGATAAACAAAACAGAAATGTTTAAAAAATGCATCGTAACTGTTATATCAAAACATTAGATTTCGATTACTCAATAAAGATTTTTAAAAATGAAAGCAAATTAAAAGACTGTAGTTGCATTTTTTTTTCAAAGTTGAATGATTATTGTTGACTTTTTTTTAACTATGACAACTCTGACAATTTCGGAATTTTAATGTTTCGCTGTATTAAAAGCTACGTTACAAATCTGAGGTCAAACAAATTTGCTGTCAAATCAAAATTTCGAAGTCAAATAGTTTTACAGTTATATTAAAATTCTAAATTTGAATTATAACTATGAAATCACACACACAAGTTATAATTTTGAAAACAAATTAAAATTCTAAAGCAAAATTAAAAATCTGAAAATAAATTACAATTCTAAAATAAAATTGAATTTTTCTGGTACAATTGCTATTTTCAAAACAAATTATAATTTTGAAGTCAAAAAATTCTGTAGTTGAATTATACATTTTCTTGTATGTACATATATTTCTCACTTTTTAAAAACTGATCTTCTTACTTCAAAATGTTACTTTAAGATGAAATACTTATATTTTGACGGGATATTTTTTTAAAACTGTATTTTCTTTACTTTAAAATCTATGTTTAAAATTGTTTTTTATCGTCACTTTATGGAAGTCAATAAAAGTAATGAATTTAACTAATTTAGAAATGCAAAGAATTATATAAAACAACTAAAGAACGAATATAGAAAACTGACGAAAAATCAGAACGTAAAAGGGTTTTTTTTTTAATGTGGTTATTTTTTCTAGGGTGTATACAATTTTCGGAACAAGCTGATACAATGGACAAAATGAAGATTGTAAAAGATAAGATTTTTAAGAACTATGACAGAGCAATAAGACCAACGAATGGAACTAACTCAACTGATATCTACAGTGCTTTTTTGCCTCGTCAGATACTCGATTTTGTAAGCATATTTTGTTCGATATCTTATTTAGTGCTTAAGTACTCTTTGTTTGTACATCAGACTGTTTTAAATTTGAAAACAATCATAAGAACTTGCTTTTTTACAAGAAGCTCATCATGATCATAAAATTACGAAATGAAATTCTTTATAAATAAAATTACAAAATGTATTAGAAAGTAAAGAATTATTTTGTAACTGTTTTTATTATAATTTATCTCATTGATATAATTATAATTAAATTTTACTTACATCCTTTATTTATTTACATGTAATGTGAATGTAATTAAGCAATTTATTTATTTGTAAAAGAAAATTATCTTCCAATCAATAAAATGCTTATTGTAATCACTGTAAAAAAAAAATTCTCAAAACAGAGCAAAAATGTGTCAAAATATAGCTCCAATGGACTATTTTGAAGCCCTCCCCCCATGCATTCATTATTAAGTACAGTGACATGCTCAAAATTGAAGTAGCTCACTTTTGAGTAAGTTATAAAATGATGTATGAGAGAAATGTTCGTTGGCTGAATCAGGGTTGGGATGCTCTAACCACCACAGTGCGCAGCAGTATATAAAACAGACCACCCTGAATGACTTTTGATCTAATGTTCGGATCTTCACGTTCTAGAAGTCAATCTTAATGGTTCGTGGGAGTCACCTCAAATATGCTAATTCATTAGTGCAGACAATATTTTAAGTTACGAAATCAGACACAAAAACGTACTTTTTTCTGAATTAACACACATTTTTTTCAACGGCTTCGGATTTCTGACCTCCAAAATATAACCGCAGTTGGGCTAGTCATTAGATCAGGGGAGCAGTCCAAAGTTTGAACCCCCTAATGCTAATTTTAATTTTAGCGTATTTCGCCATAGCTCGAGAATTTTTTGAGCGAACTGAAAGTTTTTTGCACACATTTGTAAAAAGATAATGTAAGAGTCCAAAGATAATTCCATGCAAAAATTAAATTTAGTATATATTTATTATTTTATTTAATAATAGTCGAAAAAAGTTTGAATTGTAAGGTATGAAATATTTTACTTCATTTTTCAGTATGTAATTTTAAGTTGCAAAATACATAATTTGTGCGAAAATGGTCGAATAGTTCTTGAAAAATCGAATTTCAAAGAAGTTGTATTTTTAAATTTCGATTTTTCAGGAACTATTCGACTGATTTTGCTCAGTTTTTGCATTTTGCCATGTAAAGTTAAGCCTTTTAAAATAATGTAAAAAATTTTATACCTAACAATTCAAAACTTTTCCGACTATTATTGAATAAAATAATAAAAATGATAAATATTTATTAAATTCCCAGATTGCGACTAATATACGAGGGTTGTCCATAAAATAAGGTTCCCAACGAATTTTCACAATGAAAAACATGTTTATTGGCATTGAATAATACATGTTTGGAAAGCTTAGACTTCCCTCTTTTTTTCGACATAATCCATCTTCTTTATGCCTGAGTCGTAGAAATCTGCCACCGAGCCGCGAAGATAGCTTGAAACCTCTTTCTTCAGCTCTTCGTCGGTTGTGAAATGCGTCCCTCCCAAGTGTTTCTTTAATTCAGGGAAGAGATTGTAATCACTGGGGCCAAGTCTGGGCTGTAAGGAGGATGTGTGACAGTATTCTATCCAAATCTGTTGATGAGATCAGTTGTGACACGGGTGGACTTGCCTCTCCTCTTGTGGAGCATGCCTCTCCTCTTGTTTTTAATCACGCACCGAAGGTTCTTCAACGTCCAACAGTAGCGATCCGCATTAATTGTTGTGCCTGTAGGCAGGAATTCGCACAACAGCAACCCTTTCCTGCCCCAAAAGACATTCGCCATCACTTTGCTGACAGACTGAATTTGCTTAAACTTCTTCGGCTTCGGCGAGCCTGGATGTTTTCACTGACAGGATTGTTCTTTTGTTTCCGGTGTCATGTAGTGAACCCAGGTCTCATCCCCAGTGACAACAGAGTCCAAAAATTCCGGACTGCTTCCACACGTTGCCGTTTGTTGTCATCCGTCAGCATTATCGGGACCCACCTAGCACAAACCTTGGCATATCCTAAGCTGTCTCTCAAAATGCTGTGAATGCAGGACTTACTTACATCAGGGATCATCTCGCTAGGGTCCCGAACCGCCACCCTTCGATCTTTCAGCGTTGCTTCTTCCACTTTCGCAAACACTTCGTCCGAAAACGTTGTTCGTCATGGGCGTCTGTACGTCCGTCTTTGAATTCTCTGCACCATTTGCGCACATTTTGCACACTCATACACTTTTCCCCGTGTACCTCACACAGTTGGGAATGAATGTTCACTGGAGGAACGTTTTTCGCACACAAAAACAAATCACAGAGCGTGATTCACACTTGGCGGGAGAAACAAATGGAAGCTCCATCTTTCACGGCTACCAAGACAAGAATTAACGTTGTAGATAGCTCACCGGGGCTGGAATTGGGGGAAAGGGAGCCAAGTTATACGACAGTCCCACCAAACCCCGCTTAACAGCGTTCCTAACGTCCGCAGCTCCTTGGGAACCTTATTTTATGGACAACCCTCGTATTTTGGAGGTCAGAAATCCGTTGAAAAAAAGATATGTTCATTCAGAGAGTCTTTGTGTCGAATTTCGTAACTTAAAAAATCAAAAGTTATTTAAGGTGGTCCGTTTTTTTAATTTTGAGCACCGTTCAGATAGAGTTAGGAAGCTTCATGTAATCATGTTATGCCGTTTTGAGTAATTTTTGAGAATGGGCGTGGTCTCAATGCTACGTCATATATACTCATTTTTTAGTCTTTTACTCTTTAAATAAGAATAAATTTTAATAATTATTTTTTTACTAAGGACCGAAAATTATTTACTAAGGACTATGTGATTTAAAATGACAAAATTCACTATTCGAAAGAAATCGGATGAACAATATTTGAGAAATTAATAGTTAAAAATACTTTTTTTTTTAAATTTTATATCTTAATTCGACCTATTTCTTTTAAAGTTTGAATTTTGTAATTTAAAATAAGATAATTTAAAATAGTATTTTTTTTTCCTTTACACTTCAAATTTTTTCAATTAAATGAAATGATTATTTTTTTTAAAAAATATTAAGTAATTTTTTAAAAAAAGTTAATTTTTTGCATGAATTAATATTCTAGAAAAAAAATTCTTATTCGCTTAAAAGTTTTTAAGAAATAGCGAGTGAAGCCAAAAGTGAAATTAAATCATTGTTCTCCTGTCTGGTCATACTTTGGGTGATTGGTAATCTTTTTGGGACCCACTGGGACCCTATTTTCCAAATTGCAACTCTTTGTACCATTGAAATTGGTACTTAGTGTGTCATAATGCGTCTAATAATACAATAATAGTTCAAATGTACGACTTTTTTAAAATTCGATTTCTTAGAAACTTGTCAACCGATTTCGCTCAAATTTCATATTTTGTCATAAGAACCTACATGCTTTAAAATTATGTAAGAAATTTTATACCTTACAATTCAAAACTTTTTCTACTATTATTCAATGAAATAATAATAAATACTTACGAAAATTTATTTTTTGCATCTTTGGAAAAACGAATTTTACAATAGTGTGCAAACATTTTTCAATTCTCTTAAAAAGTTCTCGAGGCATGGCGAAATACGCAAAAACTAAAACTAACATTATGGGGTCCAAATTTCAGATGGCTTACTTGGTCAAATAATGGGAACCATATTTTCCAAATTGCCTTCCATATTTTAAGAACAAGAAATCCGTCAGAAAAAAGACATGTTTATTCAGAGAAGGTACATTTTTGTGCATGATTTCAACACTTAAGATATCGTCTGCACTAATTAATTAGTATATTTGAGGTCACCCTCTCGAGACATTAAGTTTGAGTCCTAGAACGTGAAGATCCGATAAGATCAAAAGTTGGTCAGGGTGGTCTACTTTTTTTTTCTTTGGCGCTCTGTACACCCTACTATATGTTGCATCCTACTGTAGGTTGTTCCTTGGTTCGAATCCTACTGGCGATCAACGAACCTTTCACCCTCTACATCATTTTCGTGACTATGCATTTTTCACAAAAATAAATATAGACTGTTCTTATTTGTCTCTATATTCAATATAGATCACATGGGATTTTTAAATTTGAATACATTTCTTACTCATTAGCAAAATGGGTCTCGGATTGGATTTCATGGCACTTTTCAACTTCAATAATCAAGAGTAATTCTTATTTTTTCAAGTTGGTGAGTTTATCTTTGAGATCAGAGAGATCCCATAAATACTTCTTGAGTTGTGAATAAAAGAGAATTTCATCATTTGAACGATATTTTTGTTTTCATTGTTTTAACTAAGAATCAGAAATTCTAACCTACAGTTCATACTGGATCGTTTTCAATACTAATTCAGGTGAATATCACAAATAAAGAGGGTCCAAACTGATTGACACGGTCCCAAAAGTTAGAGTTGAAGCAAGAAAAAAAAACGATGCGAAGGCCTAAACTTAGCGAAGCTGGAAAAAACAAAGCCAAAGAACGTAGGAGGGAATAACTTAAGCGTTACACACAAACGGAAAAACGAAAGGATTCCGTTCGCAAACGCAAGCACGAAGCCAGTCCCTCACAAAAGTACCAAAGTGGTTGAGAGAATTGAAGCCGACCGAAGAGTGAATGGTGACTCTCCGAACCCCTTTCATGCAAATACGACAACTGGGTGTTGATCAGGATAAGAGGATCCATTGTCAACGTACCCAATAACTTGCACAAGACCGTAGACTGTCTTCCACGCAACATAAATGATTCATTCACTATTCACGTAAAATTGAGGGGAAAAAACTAGCTTTCAAATCATATTTCATGTATGAACTTGTGAATCCGAAACGGGTGTATGATGCAGCTTACAATCTCCATCAAACACCATTGTACCAATCTGAAAATGTTAATATTGGTCTCGATTGACTGTTCAATGTCTATTCAGTCATCGAAAGGTCCCGCAGTGGACTGAACGTTAAGACACGGTTCCCAGCAGATCACCGAAGTCAAGCATCACTGGCTGCGGTCAGTGTGCGGGTGGGTGACCACTTGGATCAGTCGGCGTAGGGACCGAGGGTGTGCGGTATGGGTCCTCGTTAAACTGTGATACCCTAAAGTGTTCGACTTCGCACGCAGGTCGTCGGGCTACCGAAGCGGGGGTGCCGTCCTCTCTGCAGAGGATCAAAATTATGATGGCATGTCTTCAGATCATCCTCCGGGATGTTTCCCAGACCGTCACCAATAGCCCATTGTGCAGCTCTAGTGCGACGTAAATTAACAACAGTCATCAAAAGAAATTACGCAGAATGTGTCTGAGCTGCATTTAAATATGATTGTGAAATTGTGTACCGAGCAGTTCATGATTAACAGTTAAATATGTCCAGGAGGAAAACACAATAAAGTTTCTTTTCCAAAACAATTTAGACAACAGACATTTTGCCAATGGGTAACCAGTGATCACCTTGTGGTGATCACAATTTTCTTCATTTTGTAACGAATCGCATTTAAAAAAAATTTTAAACTATGAAATGCAATGTTTCTTTTTTAGTCGTCTGAAAATTTATTCGTAATTTAATAAAGAGATTTGAATAAAACATTTTATTGAATATAAACATTTCATTCAGCGAATATTGAGTTTTATAAAAGCATGTTTCTGATAGAATGCGATTATACATCAGCTCTTTTTAATTTTTAAAGTATGCTTTCTTTCCTACACAGTGAAACCCCGCTATAGTGAACATGATTTATAGTGAACTCCCGCATATAGTGTAAGAAGAAAAAAAGACGAAGTTGGATATTATGAACTATTTTCTGTCTTCGAATGATTTTTTTTTTCCTTCATAATTTTGAGATTTCTACATAAAATATGCATACTTATTTTTAAAACCGTCTATTGAGTGGAATATAGCCATAAGCATCTTTCTCTTGTTTGCTTCTTCTACCTCAGTTTCCCATCCCTAAGTGTTTTGTACGCAAGACGAAGAGTCATAAGAAATAAAAGTGAACACATTTTTTATTACTGCATATTGTTTTTTAATCATTTTTGTATTCCTTTTTATGGGTCATTCATTTAAATAATGTGTCATAAAAGGGTGCAGTTTCGGAAAAATGAGTTAAAATTGTATGCAGATATAGTAAACTCCCGGTTATAATGAACCAAAATTTCGGTGCCCTAATGATTCACTATTACTGTATTTTCTTTTTTCATGCCATCACATTTTGTTGAAGGAAAGATTGCTATTCCCATTCGTTACTAAGTAATGTTTTATGATACAAATTAAAATTTATGGAAAATTTCTCTTTCATTCCAAGCATTCTCTTAAAAGTTCAAAGGACTATTTAAATCCAGATAATTAAATTCGACGTTTTTATTCATCTATTTTGACAAATTTTTGCTCAATTTTGAGAAACCTTTTTTTACAACGTCGTATAAGGTTTTTTATGTCAACACTTATTTACTTATAAATTTGTAATAATGAATGATATATAGCATTTTTATTGATTTATTTTTCACATTTTGTGCGAAAAATAAGAAAAGCTTCCGCTTACTTTCTAAAAAGGCAATTAAAAGTGTAATAATTTCTTTGTTTTCAGTAAACATATGACGGACAGTTAAACATACACATTTAATAATCGACAATAAAAATATTAAAATATAAATTGATTTTTTTTTTCAAATTTAGGACGAAGAAAAAGGTATATTCACTTTAGATTCCTTTTTCTACATGGTAAGTACGAATCTTTCTTATTCTCTAACAGCTCAAATAAATTAAACTTAATTATTTTTCTGGGTTCGGGTTAAGTAAAAATTAGAGTAAATAGAAGTATTAGATATATTTCGCAGTGTTAGAACTATTAAACATATAAAGCTTAAAATTTATCATTAAATATTTTTAATCAAAAATTTTAAGCAAAAAAAATGAAAGAAAAAATCTTTAGAAAAATAAAAACCCTTAGTTTAGAAAAATCACTAAGCGTAAACATAGAGTAATGAAAAAAAGTAATAAAAAGAAAGGAAAATCAAAAAGTAATTAATTATCAAAATAATTTTGGAGAAAAAGACTAAAAATCAAAAAATAAAGAAATAATAGTTTCTTTATGTAACGTGGTATCAGGTATTTTTATATCTGTTATCAATATCTCCGAAGTAAAAAATATTTGTGGTAATATCGTGACGTCATCACACTAACACAACAAATTCACAACAAATTCAGTTTTCAATCTACACTAGCAACACTATCAAAACACGCTACACTAGCAAAAGTAAGAAATCGTGGTTGATCTTAAAAAATCGCGATTTAATAAACACCTAAGAAATTGTTTTTAATATCTGTGCTGAATTCTATAACAGTTATTTTGGGATTAAGTGGGGCTTGAAAATTTAATTTTAGTTTAAAAAATTTTAATATTTTGATTTAATTTACCAATTTTGAAACAAAACCACATCATTAGCATCACATCATTAACCACATCATTAGCAAAAATATTTGGGAGTAAAAAATCCATACAGGAAATTTAAAAAATTACAATCTATTTTATAAACTTTTGTTGATATAATTTCTAAACTTTTAAGGTTCATAATTGTTAGAAGATTCAACGGAATTAATGAAATTGGTATATTGAAAATAGTATATTGAAACTTTAAAAGTAATTTTATTATCAAATTATAATTTTGCAAAGATAAAAAAAAATAGAAAAAAAGCATTCAAAATACTTTTTTAATGCCACAAAATAATTAATAAATCCCACTTTCGAAAAAGGGTTTCAAAATTTTAAGCATAATTACTTTAAGTCTATTTTTCTCTTATAAATTTTTTTTCTTTTGTCCATATAAATTACCAACATTTTGAAAATAAGCTTGTCTGCAACCTTTGATTATCAGTAGTATAGGTAATAATATTTCTTTGAAATTTTCAGCACTGGCTTGATAATAGGTTGCAATGGAACACTACTGACTACGATGGCTATTTACAACTTAAAAGTGAATTGTTATGGCTACCTGATATTACTGTTTACAATAGGTATATATTCAATTTACAATAATTATAAATTAATAAAAATGCAATGATATATACAATAAAAATAACCACCATAAAATTTTGATAACCATATTGGTTGCATTCACTAAATGCAAGTTAAAGAGCAAATATACTCGAATAACTCATTTACGATAGAGAGAGACAGAGAGAAAGAAATAGATATAGTAGATAGGTAGATACAAATAAAATGACCATAAGATGCTAGAAGAGGTGCTTACAGAGGCATCTGGTGGTTGGAGAATTATTGATTTCATTTTTCTACATGATTAACAATTTAGTATGATACTAGATAGAGATAAATAGGCAAAATTTTAAACTCTTACATTTTGTAGAACATAAAATATTTAATAACTTCTGAACAATCAGTTCTATCTTCCTAAGTCTTATTTCAATATTTCATTTGTCTAGATAGCAGTGTATAAGCTTCTCTAACTTTTCATCTATATCCTTTCATTCATCTCCTCCCGTCCACCAACGCTGATTCTATTTTACAAAGTATAATAAATAAAATGAGTCTGCTTGTAACACCTAAATTCGCCACGAATCTTAGATTTAAAAAAACATTATTACAACAATTATTTTCACTTATATATTCATCTTTCAACTATCAAGAATCTCCTCAATTGAAACGAGGGATTTTTTTCTCTACTATCATAACTTATTTTAAAAGATAATGCATGAACTAAGTTTCTTTTAATGCGTATATATATATATACACCGAAGAGCCATTACATTATGACCACCCTCTAAATTCACCTGACCTTAATTCAATAGAGCATTTGTGGTCCTACTTGGAAAACCAAATTCGTGCTGCCACGCTACTCCCTCGCAATGTGAGGGAATTGCAGGACCAGTTGGTGGGCGCTTGGTCCCAGATACCTCAGACTACCTATCAGCACCTTGTGGAATCAATGCCACGGCGGGTGCTAGCAGTCTTGAGGGCTAAAGGTGCTCCTACATGTTATTAGCAGGGTGGTCATAATGTAATGGCTC